ATCGATCCATCTTGAAAATTATTATAGCAAAGCAGTTTTCGATAGACATTTGTTCTTTGCTGGGTGGCGGAAGGTGTAAATGTGGAAAAATATCATCCTCAATAATCCTCCTTCATTTGGAGCGAGGTTGGTCTGGGTTTGCTCATACAGGGCCAAAAGGGAATGAGACATCCTCTCAGTCCTCGGTTTTACTGACCAGCAAAAGCCTTATGCAAAAATTGGAACATCTGATTTGCAAGTAGAATGAATACGTTTACACTGCAGCCTAACAAAATGCGAAATTTTTCTCAGTTTCTAATAAACAATCGATGAGGAACGTGCGGGACCATGAAATCCAGACATCGAAAACTACATCAAGCATGAATAGAATAAATTAATTTCATGCCTTGCGGCACTTGGTAATTTTGAACGCATGAATGGTGCGAATTTTCAATGGTTTTTCATACGTCCTCACTCCCTTTCTTGCGTGAGTCGTTTACACTAAGTGTATACTGCTGGATACAGGGAACAAACACATAATGGAAGAATAGGTGTTGCGTGTGGTTGCACAGGTTTATAGTTGCAAACAGACACATTACGCTATGCTTCACAACAGACGGTTAGAACTGATATATGCCGCGAGGGACAACAACCAAGCTGAATGACGTTCACACCCCATATTGAGGCTGATTTGCCAGTTAATGGTGAGTAGTATTGAAAATACCGATGAGGCTGCACGTTACATCAGAATGTGCACACTTAAAATAAGGCCGAAAAACGCAAGTAGTGGTTGGGTGTTTAAATACTCTGCTCTATTAGATAGCACGTAGCGACTATAATTGCATGTCAGATACCGTATAACCCGTCTTACCCAATTAACAGAATATCTGACGTGATTGTCTTGTTCGCAACATAATGCGTACAAGCAACATAATGCGTGGGGAGCTACCGTCAACATCAAAATATTTGAATTTAGGAGTCACTTTAATCCTACATTTTCGGCATTACCGCTCACAAATCTTGACACGTCTCTCATCTACTTGTCCATCGCTGGAGCCAACAGAAATGACTAGTTGGGTGGATAGAACGAGAACCACTCTTATGAGCCACTGTCATTTTGCGGATGACGGGGAAAGCGTCCGCTGTTCAACGCCTATGTTATTGTTCATTCCGAATCTTTCTTTCATCCAGTGGCTACTGAACCCCATCGAGGACTTGGAGTCCGTGGGCAGTTATCCACCAATGGGTGTGTTGCAAGGTATCAACGTTAATTCATTTGGCAGAGAACTGGTTCGGTAACCGGAAGTTCGCGCATTTGTGGTCCGTCCAAAAGTATCTGTCTTTTAGTTTGCATTGCATGTAATTGCGTCCCTATTTAGGATTTCCTGAATTCTCGTACCCTGTGCATCAACTTGCTCCCCACAACTAAGATGGCGGGTGGAGAAACACTGTCGGATAGGTCAAGAAACTGCCTTCTCAAAACACTGGTCTATGGATCATCTGAGGTAAGGAGACAACGGCTATTTTGGAAAGGTCGGAGGATGGGTGCTTTGGATGGTCGCAACTAGCTTGGCATGTTAAGAACACAGAACAACCTGGAGGAGATTACAATTGCCACGTTTGTCAGATGACCACTGGGGCAAGTTCATTAGGTATAATTCAGACTACTTTATCCCAGGTATGTGTTATTTTGTTCGGTTGATTGCAAGTCTTTGCAGTCCAGTGTCTTGAAGCTGATTTAGTGAAATCGACTTCGGGCTTCGTTCTCACGATGATTTCTGCTTGATTCAGCCACCTAAAGTAGACATAATTCCAAAGGTTAAAGTTTTGAACATTTTTAGGTAAAATCAAAGTTTTTCTGTTTCCCTTGATCTAATTGCTGAAATAAAGTGGGATGTGAGTTATGCAACAGGTTAGGAACCGAATATTTCTACTTCCATAAATGTGTTAGTAACTTTGAAGTTCCCTGACTTGCTCTGTTTTTTCAAGTTTTTCGCCTACTTCACTTCTACCTAACAGATACGCAGAGTGTGGTGGATTTTCTGAGGAAAATTTTCGATTTCATCTAAGCTTACCTAAAGTTACTTTTCAACCTTGAGAAAACGCGAACATTCATCATCATTAGAATCGCGTCGGACGAATTGGGTCTGGTTGACATTTTCAGTATTTTGTTCCCAGACCGGAAAATACCTTACCTTGGCCTATTTTTGGAATAATTACATCAAATTCGAAACAATTGGTTACTTCGTTCCAGAGTTCAAATCTGCTCCTTTGGTTTGTTTATTATTGCCTTTATTCCAAAGGTCTTGATTACCGGATACCTATCAGCACATTCTATCCATACGTTCCTTTTTTTCTTGTTGCAGCACATAAATAAATACCATCCCCTTCGTGACATGTTACCATAGTGAGGACAGAATGAAAACAGTAATAAAATAATATTTTGTGTGGCACAGGATTGTAACAGTGTTATTATGTGTCGTCGTGGCAAAGTGTACTGATTAAGGTCCAGTCATTGTAATGTTTGTTTTTGGTGACAATTGAACGCAGTTCGAGTTGCTTGGTGCGCTTGTTTACATTCACATTACTACATTGTTCACTTAGGAATCACCGCATTATCACTTAGCTGACGTGTATGCCGGCAAACGTAAACAAGGTTACACTTTCCAATTCTTAGACGTTTTAATGATAGGCTAGTTTCTCAAGTAGAATAGAAGCACATGCTCATAACAACAGTTTTTACTCGTGTTACCTTTATGAGGAAGCGCTTCGACATCACGTATCGACTTGCTGAAGGGAGCATCTCATCACTATTGAATACGATGCAGAACACGAGGAAATGGAATTCTGGATTTGACAAGGGATAGTGCGTGCCGAAGGTAGCTTACCGTGGATACACTCAGCGAACTAGATGCTGTCTTCAAATTCTGTTTCATATAAGGGAGTCATAGGGCATCCCTTCCAAATCGGAGTTGTCCGTGCGACTGTCAAAATGGTCACTCTTGGGGTGTGTATCATTTTGATCAATCCGATTTGCCAGTGATATGTGACTACTAGTTGTCCCTAGAGTAAACCAGTTCGTGATCGGGAGAATTTTGTCCCCTTGTATTTTTAACAATATACTAGTTGTCCCTAGAGTAAATCAGTTCGTGATCGGGAGAATTTTGTCACCTTGTATTTTTAACAATATTCTGTGTATTTGGAACTGCTAGATGGGCGATTCCCTCAAAAGTTAGCACTGGTTGAACAGTTGCTTGGGATGTAACTGTTAACTTTTCCTGTGAAATTTGGATAGTTAAAGGAAAGCAATTGTAGAACGTTCCTCTGATCCTAGGATCAATCTTGTATCGTTTGTCACCCATCGAATCACGTTTCCTCGAACTGTGAGCCTTGACAGCCAGAAATCCACCTAGAAGATCATTATCTACTCTGACGCATGCTGAATCCTGGCAGCGTTGGATACTACTTCTTTCGTAATGGTCGTACCCCGTTAACCAAAAGTCACCCATTGATGACGGGCTTTTTCCGTCTTGTATTCTCCAAGGCTGAACGAATGTACTGTTAGTAACCTACATTGTCCGGAAATAAACTTAACTGTTGGTTTCCCTGCATTTTTGTACGTTTGGTTGTCTTGTCAAAGCGGCAACTTATTCAAACCAGATCCGCGTGACCTATATTAGAAATAAATTTGCAACTATCGTCGTAGTTCGTATGTGTTGCAAATGCACACGTACATGTCAGTTAACCAGAATAAACATCATAGATCTAGCTGTACAATGGCACGCCACCTCAAAACTGTTATTCCGAAATCTCGTCAAACACTTAGGTGCACTCTTGACGGGAAACTGGTGCTGTGATAATCTCCTGAAGCTGCACCGTTGATTGTACCACCAAATACCTACCTACGTCGCTAATGTTACAGAACCACTCTACGCTCCATCATAAGAAGCAAGAGTTCCCTTTAACCGGCCGTCAAATATCTGATGATACTGTTTTTCCACAGTTTATAATGCCAAATTGGTGTTGTGTATTTTCTTCATTTTACGACCGGCGTGCAACCATAGGTGGAAGAAGATAGTCTGTCCCACGCATTTTTTCCGATTACAAACTACAGCTCTTTGCTGATGCTGAGATCTTTTGATCCACATCATTCCTCACAGTTATCAGAGGCTTTGACTCAGTTGACCACTATCTCATGAAGCGCTTCTTTATTTGCATCTTCTCTTTGAAAGACCTTAATATCAGACTATTAAAGGCACCATTGAAAGTTATGAGAAGGCACTAAATAAGCAGGATATTCTTTCTTTTATTAGTCCTCCTGGGAATTTATTCGATGCTAGTCAGAATGCACGTGCACCGGTTAGATGAAATTCACGGACATATATATAAGAATCGGAGGTGAAACTACATGGAGATATAGGCCGTTTCTTGACATTGTCTTATATTGATGTCAATTCTCTGAACCCATGACGCATGTATCTGTCCTCTTTGAAGTTCACCTAACCATTAAACGTATCCTGTGACTAGTACTGTATGAAATTCAAGTGGCCGAGAGGATCGGCCATGAAAAATAAACATGAATACAATCCAACCTCCTCTCTTCTACCTGCGGAATCGGTCACCACGCGATTGCAATCAATCTAGCACATCTATACGGTGATCTGTTCCCTGGTGGAGCGATCAAATCAACAGCCCCTAAATACACCCGTATGCGTATCTCTCACCTTGTGATTCAACGCACACAGTTAGAGTGAATACTCTTGTTTGTGGTCACTTCCATGTCAAGCCGATCATCCAAGCGATTATTCGAGTTGGGTTTATGTCAGATTCCGGTGGCTTCGTCTAATGGGGTGAAACAGATGATAGGCTGTCCCAGATTTCTGCCACTCGTTCCATGTGGCTCTTATTGAGCAGAAAGCAGTACCCTATGTGCTGTACACCATGGGGAAGCATAAAAATGTGCTGTTGACATCGATGGACTCCATTAAGTATCATCATCATCATCATCATCATCATCTCACCATCATCATCAACATTATCGTTATCATCAACATCATCATCATCATAATCCTCATCATCATTATCAACATCACCATCATCATCAACATTATCATCACCATCATCATCATCATTATCATTATTATTATTATTATTATTATTATTATCATCATCATCGTCTCTGACAGCAACAACAGCGGAGTTTTCAGGTCCAGTGCGTATGACCACTTAAAGTTCAGTTTGCCAGTTAGATCTTCACTCTTTGCGCATAGTTCAGCAAGAAAGATAACTCATTCCACGCCAGTGAATGTGACGTTATCAAATCCGCACTTAGCGGTTAGTTCCTACTAGGATAAGTTCACGCAACAAAAGGGATTAAGTCAGCTCCAGATGATCAAATTTATTTTGGGTTAAACGGAACTAGTAATCTGTGCCATTTCTAGATAAAGCAAAGGATGTCTTCAAAGGAATCCACAGTACTTCCACTCAAGTTTCATTTTCCACTATGGAGTATTCTGTTAAGTGGAGCTTACATCAAATCTTCAAATAGTGAAAAGTACAACAGGAATTAGTGTTTTCTGTAGAGGAGAATGTCGGTAGCTCAGGTAGCGTAGATGTTTGTTGTCTTGTTTGTTGAGCTGGACAATTTGATTGCAAACGTTTCATCACCAATCGAGGTGACATCATCAGTGCGTTATTGGGGAGCGTAGTTGTGCGTAGCGGTGGGTTAGTGTTTGTGCGTTGGGTAGTGTTACGTGTGTGTTAATATACGTGCTGATAGCCGGGGATGACCTTTGACCGCGATTAGATGTTCGGTCGGCCGGTTCCATTGGTTGTTCTGCTATCCCGTGTCCTCATTCGCCGATGCCCACGTGGCCTTTGAGCTTGGCATTCTTCGCCGTCGTAGTTTGGTCGATGTTGGAATGACCTTTGTCCTTCCGAGTTCCGGCTTGTGACCCTTATTGATTTGACTCCGAGGAGTTCCTTGTTTGTTTGTGAATCGAATATTCGGTCCTCCTTGAGTGTTCCGGTTGAGCTGTTGGTCTTCTTGCACCGCTATACACAACTACGCTCCCCAGTGAGGCACTGATGATGTCACCTCGACTGATGATGAAACGTTTGCAATCAAATTGCCCAGCTCAGCGAACAAGCCAACGACCAAGAATTAGTGTGGTTTGGTACCCCACTAAGGTCTCAAAACTAGTAACGCCGGGTTTTATCTGAGACAAATGATAGAAGGTCAGACACTACCTTCAGAGGTCTCACAATGTGCAGTGAGTCTTAGCTATGAACGAAACGATCTGCCAAGTATGTAGGTGGTGAGTACATTCAATGGTTTGTCTTAAAATTGCATTTCGGAAGCGAAATCAATTATCTCTGACAGGTCCATATCCCAGCATTTTTGCGGATTACCAGCAATGCGCTTCTCAGAAACCTCCATGAGCTTCGGACCCGTGACCTGTCCTTTATTAACTAGATACTTGACCGTTTGGCCACTAGGGGTTGACCAGCAGTGTGATTACTTTATATTTGAATAGGATATAGCACCCAAGTAATGTAACCATACGATTCACATTATTACAATTCTTGAAATGGGAAATCCTCAGATTTCTCCTCTTCTCAGTAGACTACCTACAGACTTGGGGTAGTGAAGAGAGTTCGAAGGATAGGTTGCGATTTTATCAGGTAACCTATGGAGAAAAACCTGAAAAGTAGTGTGCATATGTTCCACTCTTTTTAATTGTTTGTACTACAATCGAAGTCGATCTATACTCAGAAGCCGAGAAACACTGTGCGGCTGTTTCATTTTCGCTGTGAATCATGAGCAATGCACCTCTCACGAGTCTGAGAGAGTTTCGAACCCGTGACTACTGGGCTCGCAGTTTGAACACTTAGCCATTCGGCCACTAGAGGTGGTTTAACTTGCACTTAGACAAGATGTGGCGCCACCATCCTTCGATCGCGAGATCCGTTTCGTATGGTCACATGTTGACTGGCTTCTTAAGTGATGATTTTTCGGATGGAAGTCTCACTCGTCTTGTGAAATCGTTCTTCCGCTGAGCTACTTACAAATTGTTGGTAGTGTATTGAGATATGATATTTCCATTCGATGCTCTTGGGAAACCCGTGTAATGCGTATATCACGAGCATCTGGAGAGACAGGACGTTTGTGTTGGTCTATTCTGTAGATTGCTAACTGGCCTCTAGATGAGATAAAGTGCCTATCATGAAACCGTGTTTGCCGTGAATGGGTCATTCCATTACTGAATAATTATTAACTGGAACAACAAACAAATGCATTTTCCGTGCTACCATGACTTTGTATAGTTATGAATAAAGGCGAATTTGGATGTCTTCATTACCGTCATAGTACCTGTTTACCTGCTGTGACATTCTAGTGTGGTATGCTCCATCCTAACTGTTCACAAAGTATTTTATTCAATAAATTCTCTTGCCAATATGACATGAGTGCCAACCTTTTGTTTTTAATTCTAATGAGTACACTGTGAGACTTGCTCCTGCTTTTGACACTTTGCATTGTAGTAGTGATTGTCTAACATTTGACGATTCTTCAGGCAAATCAGGCATGAGTACTTCTGCTCGGTAAACCCCAAGTGGGAGGTTAATCGAAATTTTTCTATTGGAATTTCTGACACACCAAGTATTTGCCAAATAGAGTGCCCACTGCTAATAAAGACTGTATATAGGATCTGGTGAAAACGGCACTTTCTGAAGGATCCTTATTTACGGATCCGGGTTTTACGACATCCAAATGGCCCTCAATTTAAGCAGTTAATTTTCTAAGAAATCTGAGGTCTGTCTATTCACAAAAGTGTTCTCTGTTTATTTAATCTGTTCGAAATGTGGCTCTTTCATGGTGGACACTAAATTTGCTGTGATATGGGGGGCCAAAATGTATATTTTTTACGAGTGAAACTCACCGATGTGGGCACTGCAGTCATCGCCTTTTTTCTCCTGAAAGCAGACCTTTGTTTTGTCATTCGACATTTAATCATTCTTTGAGTGGCATTTTCTTAGATTTCTCCATCATGCAAAAGACACTGTACACGGTGTTGAGTGTAAATTCGTCGGTATACCGAGGACGGTGTATGGTCTGACGAAAGCAGCTAAAGAACGAATTGCTTCACTTCATGTTTATGGGTATTGATGACTCGTGTAGTCTGTGCTGTAAAATTCGCGAACCGGCTATTTTTTCACTTTTAAATGGTCTAATAACAATCCAGCTTTATTTGTCGCAAAATTAGAAGCTGCTCAGTAATTGATCTAAAATTGAAATTGTCAGTTGATTCGACAACATGACCAAGTAGGATGTGCCCCTGTAAAAGTTACAGAGTGAGTCAGGCTTGCTCATTCCGGCTGCATATATTTACCGCTGCCATTAGGAGGTCCGTACACAGCTTGCAGTTCAGTAGTAACCATCATTTGCTTATGTTTCCGGTTTAACACCTCTTTTGCGAGAAACTATTGTTTGGATAGTTACCCGAAAATGATGAGTTGAACTGTTTCGAAGTAACCTCTGGAGAAGGGCCTTTCGTTACTGTGAAGAGCCAGGTAATTCATAATATGAAATTTCCACTTAAGTGTGCGTCCAAATTTATAGGCAAATCCTGATTTGATTGTATTTTATTGTCCGTAAGACATACTTTAAGGAGGCTGAACTTTGTAAACTTTTAGGCTGGTCAGCACTCCTCAGACCTGTTGAATACCAAACAGCCAGTCAAACTTTTAGCAATTTTGGAACGTACTCAATTGGTGTCACTTTTGTGCACGATGTATCAGAATATAGATGCAATCGAATTTGGTTAATCCTTGGGTCCGGAAAATGTGAAGCAACACTATACGCGGTTGCGGAATATTGGGTTAGAAAGCTGAATGTGGGTTTTGGACATTAGAGGCTAAATATAACAATTCGGGCGTGTATTAATCTAGATGTACCAGACGCACAGTTGAGAGCATTGCCATTGAAATCACGTCGGTGTGCAATTAGTTTTAGATCCCTACTGTCTCTTTTGACCAGTCAACTCATTGTTCTCCGTCAATAGGCATCACATGAATGAATAAGTGTACAAAAACCAGTTAAACGAATCAACATTCAGTTAGCTAGACATGGTAAATTACAGAGTGGCTAGAGACGGGACTGTGAAAGGCTTGCTAGTCAAACTTCGCTCGGGGCGATCTAGATGATCTTATTAAAGTCTGCAGTTTCCACAAGGGGAAGAAAATTTGGGAAAAGATTATTAGGTGTAACAATAGAGAAAATTGAATCAGCCTTTTGAGTTGTCGCTATAGCTTGAGGTAATACTCTTAATTTTACAACAGTTTGCAGAGTCAAGTCGGCTGTACAGGAAGCGAATTAATTAGTTTGACTTCCACACAATACGGACACACTATCAAAGAATTCACAATGTATTATGATTTGTTGTGCTAGAATGAATCGAGCATAACTCAGTTGTCGTCTATCTTGAATGCATTGTGTTTTTACTAAGCAGCTTCTCTAACAGTGGTACTCCGAGTGATGTCAATCCTTCCCAACCACATCAGTAGACATGAACCACAGCAACGCATCTATCCAGGTTATCTGTAAAGCTTCTGTCAACAACGTAACAGTTGTTCAACTGATTTGGGATATATTTGAATTTCACATTCACAGCACTCTGGTTTGACATGTGTTCTTTCTGTCCCAGAGTAATTATTCTGTTGGCATCAGCTATGATCCAACTGGCATCTATGTAAGAGACAACAGCAATGTACAGCGAGCGAGTTTAGCGCAAATTAACAATCACAGTCACAGTTTGGCATGTAAGACATAGAGCACAGATGCCGAATAAGTGTTCAGGTTTGCAACAACAAGAGAGTCTCCCTTGAATGTCGTTCAAGGTGACTGCAGGGTGGTACTAGGCGGTTGCAAACAATGTCTGAGAGCAGTATTTCCAACGCAAAGCACCCAGATATCCGCAGATTTACACTTGTTACCTCAATCTCCAGTAGATTGGCTCAAGGCTTATTCCGTTGGCAAAAAACACAGAAAGATGGATTCCTACCATTGAAAGGAAGATAGCCTTCGCTGCGGAGTTATTTATTAGAAAATGCCATACCTTGTCACCAGCTTTAGGTCAATCACGGAATCTGTCTGTTCTATGTTTGGGCTGCCCGTGAACGCGTGCTGCACGGACTTGTCGCCTAGGCGTATCGAGTGCATTGACAGTTCGCCAATCTTCAGTCGATATCCGCCTACTGCTCTCACGGCTAATGCGCATAGTCTACATTCAGATTGGTTCCCTCCCCTCCTCAGCGATACCCCTGCTCCTGTATCCATCAAGCACTACTCCTTCTTCCCGTCTATCTCGATAAAAGCCTGTATGGCAGTTCGTGTCAATGCGCTAATCGCAACCCACCCAGGAAAAGAGGAGTACTCTAAAGTTCTATTATTTATAAGTGATCGAGTACGGGTACACTGATTCTTCCAGTGGCCAGGCCTGCCACACATGTAGTACCGGCTCGTACGAGCGCACCTCTGCGATTATGTCTTCATGGCTGCAAGCTGTTCCGCGAGTTGGTTCACCTTGGTCTGCAGTTCGTCCAACGTGGAACCATCCCTGTTTTCCTGCGGCTGCAACACGGCCAGTAGTGCCTCGGCCGATTCCCGTGCGAGGTGTACCAGTTCCTCCACACGCCACTGGCCAGTCGCTGTCGCCAACCGCAACTGGGCACCAGGCGCAGGCTGGGCACCTTCGATGAACTGGTGAGACAGCAACTGGTGGCGTGACACTCCGTCGGGTAGCGCGATCCATGACTGTTGCAGGCCGGCGAAGAACACGGTCGGGCCAGATCCAAATGTTATCCTGGCCCTCTTGAACCGCCTCATAGCCTCCTAGCGGTGGGCCGGTGTGTCGAACTCCGCTGCAAGGACTTCCTTCGCGATGGTCTGGTCCATCTTCCGGGGGCCTTTTCCGGCCACATCCAGGACCGCCTTCTCCCGGTTCCTGAGGTGGGTCTTCAGCGCTGCCAACTTACCCCGTTCGATATCCAGTCAAGCAACCTCCTCGAAGTCCTCCGAACATCTCCATCTTAGGGTTGTGGCCATGAGATCTTCATCCTTATCCTTGTCACGGTACCAAATGAAAGGAAAAAGGCCATCGTTGCAGAGTTATTTATTAGAAAATGCCAACTGAACCGTTACAGACTATTGGACAGGGAAGCAAAACTCTCATATGCATCTTGTTTACAAAAACTGAATATCCATCCTCTCTTTGAACGCGTCTTCCTGAACTTTTCTGGATATTCATTGACTGTTGCTCAAATCCAAGCGAATGCTACAGAGGGACTCCACAAACTCCATAATAGATCTTACTTCTCAAGAGACGCAAAGAGGATTTACGAGAAAACACACTGCTCGCATGCCCATCCCATCAGTAGTATCACCGTTACACCATGACCAATGAGGAATACGGGAAAAGTGAAAAGGGACATACCTGTGAAAAGAATAATTTAACGGGGAAATGGTCCGGAATATCACTGCTTATTTGTATGACAGAAGTGAAGAACTATCTTCCAGAAATCAGTCATCATCATCACAAATGACACAAAGAAACGGTATTCCAGTAGAATTCCAAGACATGTTTGACCTCCACCTTAGATACTGAGACTATTACTTTCAGTTCTGGTTGCTGGTAGCTCTAGAGACGAATGAGCCGTGTTGTTCGTTTCCTTTCTCTCATTCTCATTCTATTGTCCATAACCACTGAGAATCCCCTTAGTTAAGTTTTCAGTGTCAGTACAGCCGTACTTTATTTTTAACTCTTCCATGAATTTACCGGTCAATCTTCTTTGTAATGAGAACAGGTTCAGTTGGGCCTGGTAGGTTGGCATGAGCATCTGAGTTCTTTGCAAGATAAATAAACGCTTCAGCTGGTGCATTCCTCAGTTAGCTCATCCAGCACTGAGTAAAGTCGACTGGCTAAAATCCACAGTTTTCTGACGGATTTATTTGCACAGGGTGAATGAATGATAGACTCAATTAGGGAGCACTGCGGAGCTGAGGCACCGGCCCTTATAAGGTGTTGATATTTGAATTTATTCGGTGGGAGCTTCAAAGCAACAGTTCAGAAGTACAATTTGTTGAGGTTGTGCCATTTCTCCATGTCTGGAGTTTCACGTCATGGGCATACATACAGAAAGTATCATCAGGACCTTTCATTGGGCCATTTGCGTAGAGTAGTACTTTCCTTGCAGTCTAACTAAACCCTACTCGTTTTTTGACATGCATCCTGGGCTGCTTTGTAGATTGCCCCATCGGTGGCATCTATTACAGTAACGTCAACCAGGAAATAGCAGAGCATGAAATCAGTGCCTTGATGGGACTACAATAACACTCATTGTGATGGTCATAGCTACCAACGATAGAGCAATATATGGCGCGTGTCTGGTCTAGTCATTCATAAGATGAAACCAAGGGTGACGGATGTCAAGCTGGGTATCTCCCTCGTTCACCCTCAGGTGAAACCCGGAGTTGCCTCGAAGGTAGGCTGCCCCCACCGAGTTCACGAGTACCCAATTTCGATAAACACAGGAATAAACTAATGCATACCTCTGTTACCATACTTCGGATTTCTTTAACGTTGTGCTTAAGCGCCTTCGACCCAGCATGTTTTGAACAACCGATAAATTGCTAGTCCACGTTTTTTGTGGAGAAGGTAATGTCTTACATATGGCCGAGGTCTCTGTACATTTACAACTGGAGGGTTCTCATCTGAAGGGGTTGCAAGATTACCTCATGCAAGGTGGATGGTGAAGCACCAAGTAAACTTGAAAGAACTGTTTAACGACCACCGGGTAATTTTGGCTTTTAAAACACGTACACCTAGAATGGCTGCATCAGCCATGGCACCTGATGTTGAATGCCTAGATGAACATCCAGACAATCGTTCACTCCCGTCTTTCCACCGGGTTTGAGCATTATGACCAACGTAAAAGTCAGCGGATCTTCGAATGAACATCATCAGTTCTTGATGGTCGATCCTGTATTACTCCAGGTTGTGAACTTTGAACTCAAGCGAGGTCTAGTGTAGACTGAGAAGTTTAGTGAAAGATTCAATACCTGGTGTAGTCGCTGACACCCGCGCAGTCACTTGTATGTTATGCGACCTAGCCTCTGGATCGATGGTGGAGGTTCGATGGGTCCTAGCTGTACATTTGCCCTGTACCTGTCTTTCACTGAACCGACGACTTCAGGTATTCGTATAGGCTTATATCAGCTTAAATAATTTGTATGGTTTCCCGTCTTGGAATGCCATTGGTTTGCTGGACTAGCTGAGATTCCGGCAAAGAACAGAGGCCAAGCAGCTTTTGCAAAGTCATCCAAAGTGTACTATAACTGGCGATTTCAGTCACAGATAAAATGTCCTACACCTGTTGGAACACTGCAACACCCGCCTTCCTCGCACCAGACTCGTGTTCAAAGTCAATCCATGGGAATCGTTTTTTTTTACCTGGAGTGGCCTAGTTCAGGATACAAGTTTACTTTACGGGTGTTCAAAGCAATCCATGGGAATCGTTTTTTTTTACCTGGAGTGGCCTAGTTCAGGATACAAGTTTACTTTACGGCTGTCGTTGCTAAGGCTGCTGTTTAACCTCGGGTTATCCAGTGCCCTCACATTGGTAATGGAGTAAGGGACGCATGTTTCGGAAGATCTGGATGAGACGGGGAAGCTGGCGGTGATGAGGGGGTGACAAAAGTGTATAAAAAAACTTTGAAGTTCAGCATAACCGCTTAAATGTGAAAAAGTCGTAGTGCTGCCAGTAGCTTGATCTGCACTTCATCTATGTTTGTCGACAGGATCTCAAAGGTAACTCATCGAAAACCTGACACCGAGAAGCGAAAAAAATTGCGGCAGTATGATACACCATAATCAAAGGAACTTTTTAAAGTTTCCTAACTTCGTTTTCTTCTTCCTCAACAGAAATGTGATTAGGCCTATATGTTGTCCAAGTGAGAGCCAGTCACACTGCTGTGCAGCTGCTTGTGACCAAAAGGCTATGTTCGATCAGTGACCGGAAGGTCGCGGGTTCGAAAATCTGAGTTCCCTGAGAGTCGCATTACTGATGGTTCCCAATTGGGATGAAATAGCTGTGCAGTGCCTCTCGTATTTTCAGCGTAGATAAGTTTCAGTGACACAGCGAGATCTAAACTGTAAGTTACCCGCACACTAACATCAAAACTGTTCCAGGATAGAAGGGATGTTCAAATGAGGGCACTGTGAACGCAACCATTTCAGAATTTCACAATAAACAAGTTTTTGTGTATTATTAGGTGCGTTGGGTCTAAGAAAGTTGGCTGATTTGTTTTCTGTTCTTCATTTCGAGCAATCACGTCCATGATGGACGTGAGCACCGAGAGCTACAGTGCTTACCACTGATTCTTCAATACTGTCTAGGTCTTTTGAAAGTAAGCATTTTTTCTTCATTTGCTTACTTTATGTTTATTGATTTTTGTTGTCTTCTAAAGCCCACTTGCCGTTGCGTGACTTTCGGTAACCTGTTTCATCTCAAGGTCAAACAAGTGAATTTAACATTTTCACTCTAAGTCTTATAAAAGAAAAAGAAGCTATTGATGCTCAGAATTACCAGATCAGGTCAAAGCCATTACTAGCCCTAGTGGAAACTAGTTTTGAGGTTTTGAACTGCTTTCCATTTAATTTCGAATGTGGTATTTCATTGCTTTGACAACAATGGCAATTAAACCGTGGTCATGACATCCAACTTAGAGATTACTTCCTCAGGAAATATTTGCACATAGATGCATGTGCGCTTAGCGGTTTCTCTTGAGGAAACGCATCCACCTTTTGGGAATCTCTTCACTTGTTTCTAGGCTATCTTCGACCGCTTGTGGAAAACGAAAGAAATTCAGATTGGGGATTCAACCCACTCGCTACTTTCAAACAGCATTTAACATCCACAGGATTTATGTTTGGATTTATGGAAAGTATTTCGCACAGGGTAGAGGAAAAAGTTTTCTTTTTCGAAATTTTCATGAACAGGTTAGTGTGTCTATATGTCCACATGACAGCAAGGTGTGCAACAAAAAGTCACGGCATTTCGGTTAGAAATCAGACTGAAACGAAATGAACGGCAGTGAAAAACGTTCAGATACAGAAACGTGCACCGCGGACCAATTAAATTTCATTTTGAACGACAACTGAA